GAGGTGCGGCACAGGAGCGGTGCGCGCTGGAGACCGAAGCGGAGCAGGAGCGGTGCGGTCTGGAGCCCGGGCGCGGAGCGGTACAGGAGCGGTGCGGGCCGGAGCTCGGGCGCGGCGCGGGGAGCCCTGCCTGCTGGCCACACACCTTCTGCTTTGCCCCCCTTAGGCTGCAATTTAGCAACTCTGCCTGCTCTTCCCTTGCGTGATTTCACGTCTTTAATTCTCTTTAAATGTCCACTAGAAAACGTTTGTATGTAAAGGGAGGTTCCTCTATATGTCTGTATTCCTTCATCATGCCCATTTCAAAAGCTTGCAATGCGAGTTATTCAAATGCAGGGTATTTTTTTTTTTTGCCATTCTTTGTTTCAGACCCACAGAATGGGTTTGCTATCTAGCTTATTTACATATTTTTCTTGTCTTTCTAAACTTTTTACTGCTCCAGGTTTTGTAAAGCATATTCTTTTTATTTAGCAAGGGCACCCCTTTCCTGTTTATAGCTTTGAGATGATCTCTTGCTTATATATACATCAGTGAATCCACCGCTGTTCAAGATGTCATCAGTAAGTTGCATAGCTGCCCCCTTCAAAAACGTATTCAGACTTCATTAATGGAGGAGCACACAGGTCTCCTGTCAAGTAATTTCTGTGCAGGCTTCCATGCATTTGCAGTTCAATCAAATCAAGCCCCTTCCTTTCCTAAATATCTGCTGTTGTATTATAAGGTATGTTTCCAACTGAAGAAAAAGATACGCCAGAATTTATTGCTGGGGAGCTTTGAGATCTTTCGCCTTGAAAGAAGTCCAGTAATGCGGTGCTTGCCAACTCCAATTTACTCAGAGTTCAGCTCTGCATGACAGAACTCTGTCTTACTAGCTTTACCTATTGAATACACCTGACCATATTTTAAACATATTTTAATAGCTGAATGAAACTGATTCCTGTGTGATTGCGTTTGTGACTCTGATGTACAATTAAACCAGCAGATTATCTTAAACCATTTATCATCTGTTACATTGTTTGCCTTCCTGCTTTTAACTCTGGGCTTTGTGTCTCTTGTTCTCAGGGCTGCAGTTTCTGAGGCTGTGCAGCAGTGCTGGGCAGGCTTCAGGGCCAAGGAGCTGCGGGGCAGCCACCAGGTTCACGCTCAGTGTCACAATACGGTGACCGTGTGGGGAAGCAGCGCCCAGCTGGGCACCATGAGCTCCAGCACCACCACCCCGCTGAAGGTCATCGGCAACCTCGCCAACACTGATGTCAACTATGTCATCAAAGAGCATTATAATTACACAGGAAAGCTAAACGACAATGCGGACAGTGGAATAAAAGTGACGTCGGTGATTTTTATCATAATTTGCTGCTTTATAATCTTAGAGAACATTTTTGTCTTGCTCACCATCTGGAAAACCAAGAAGTTTCACAGACCCATGTACTATTTCATTGGGAACTTGGCTCTTTCAGACTTGCTGGCTGGTGTGGCTTACACTGCCAACCTCCTGCTATCTGGACACAAGACCTACAGCCTCACCCCCTCCCAGTGGTTTGTGAGAGAAGGCAGCATGTTTGTTGCCTTGTCAGCTTCTGTGTTCAGCTTGTTGGCCATTGCCATTGAGAGGTACATCACCATGTTGAAGATGAAACTCCACAATGGCAGCAACAGCTTCCGTTCCTTCTTGCTGATCAGTGCTTGTTGGCTTATCTCCGTGATACTTGGGGGACTCCCGATCATGGGCTGGAACTGCATCAGCCTCTTGTCCAACTGCTCCACTGTGCTGCCTCTCTATCACAAGCACTATATTCTCTTTTGCACCACTGTTTTCACTGGCCTTTTGTTATCTATTGTCGTGCTCTATTGCAGGATCTACTCCATGGTGAGGACTAGGAGCCGCAGGCTGACATTTCGGAAAAACATTACCAAAGCTACTAGGAGCTCAGAAAAGTCACTAGCCTTGCTCAAGACAGTGATCATAGTCCTGAGTGCCTTCATTGCCTGCTGGGCTCCCTTGTTCATCCTGCTTTTACTGGATGTGGGGTGTAAAGTGAAGACCTGCCCAATCCTCTATAAAGCAGAGTATTTCTTAGTACTGGCCGTGCTCAATTCAGCCACGAACCCCATCATCTACACCTTGACAAATAAAGAAATGCGGAGGGCTTTCATCAAGATTCTGTGCTGCTGCAAATGTCCCCCAGCAGATTCTGGGACCAAATTCAAGAGGCCGATCATTGGCGGGATGGAGTTCAGCCGGAGTAAGTCTGATAACTCCTCCCACCCACAGAAGGAGGAAGACGACCATCCTGAAACCATCATGTCTTCGGGCAATGTTACCTCATCTTCTTAGAAGTAACCATGGGTGTATTTCAAAGCCTTCCTCTGAAATCAGGGAGCTGAGATGCCTCCTGCTCACGGCAGCAGCATTTGGCTAAGTGAGCAAGTAGCATTAGTTCTAATGAGGCAAATGGTGCACTTGCGAGGCTGGAGTTCAAGAAATGGGACAGACCGTTCTGGCCAGAAAATCTTTTTCCTTGGAGCATGTTTTGTCTTTGCACTGAGGCAGCTCGGGATTAGGATTGTCAGGCGCATTCATATCCTGAAATCTCCTTAGTAACTCTGAAAGACTGATGCCTTGGTGAAATGATGCCTGGTGTGTGTGAGAGAAAGAGAGAGGGGGAGGAGGGAAAGGGAGAATGAATCTTTTTTTTTTTTTTCCTGTGAGAAGAATGTGAAGTTATTTCTCCTTTACTTGCAGCAAACCACTGACACAAAGATCTTTCTGTACTGAGTTTAGTGGTGGCTCTGGTGTAGTTGGTCAGAAGGTTTTGTTTAGCACATAACAAGGAAAGAGATAACACAAATATAACTTAGACCACATACAACCATAATTTGGCATTGCTTTCCAGAGTTTTTAGTTAAGTGATAAGGTTTTATTTGCAGAGTCCAAAGCTACTGGGGTTTTATTTCACAGCTGTGAATTTTTGCTGTTGTTCCGTATTACATTTGAAGACCATAAGCCAGACTCTGCAGTTATTTTCAACTGTACAATTCCATTGACTGCATTAGATTTTATGGAGTAGCACAGAGCAGCTTTTGGCCCCAACATGTTGATTGCCTGGTTATTCTACAGCATTGAATAAACTGCATTATCATGGCAAATGCAAGGTAGAACTAAAGGTCATTTCTCTTTAAGATGACTGAAAGTAAATCGATAGTATAAGATACTATTGACAACAGCAGGATTTTTGCCTAAGTAAGAAGAATTAAAAACTGAACAGGCATTTCAGTGTCAGGTTCATAGTCTTTCCAAGGTGAAGATTGTTTGGAAAATCTGAAAAGAGTACCCTGAGTTTCAGAAAAATAGAAGGAAAGTTTAAGTGAAATGACTATAGATAAATGCACTTCCATAACAAAATGCAATACATTTTGGCACATTTTATTAATGTTTATAATTTCAGCAAAGATGTCTGTATTTTATCAGTTCACGGAAGAAATACTTGTCATTAAATTGAATGTATTTGTTCTGCAGCATCATTTTTACTCCTCTGTTTTTCTAACCTGTGCTAATAGGGTTGAATGTGTACAATGTAAATAAGTTAATAAGATGCCAGAGTCTTCATGTGCCTAGAGTATTACTGTAACAAAAGTGGTATATCTGGGATAGCTGAGAGCAACTGACTGATTTACAGTTATTGGCAATTCCTAGAAGTGGTATTTTGTAAAGAAAATTTACTGCCTTTGTAGTTAAATTTCCAGTGCAATTAAACTTTTTTTTCTGGTTTAAAAAATAGTATTTAAAAAGTTTCTGACTTTTATTGTTCAATTTGCACATAGCTTTATTGACTTCTAAACATTAATAAACTGATTTTTTTTTTAAAGATTTTGTTATCAGATTACTAGTAGTTTTGTATTATTGTGCGGGTTTTATGCCAGGTGTGCTTTCTTGGCAACAGAAGTCAGTGAAAGAACTCCGTAATTTCAGTGCATGCTGGAGTTAAGCCAATTCTGCAGGGAGTTAAGATGTATAATGCCACTTACAGGATCATGTAAAATACAAAATCAGTGCTAGAATGTAATTTTTCATCAGCACATGCTGTATTGATGAAACACCATTGAAAGAATCTCTACAGTAGTGATTCTTCTCCAACAGCTAATGAAGTACAAACAGAAGAAAAAACAGATGCCTGCCAGTTTTACCATAACTGCCTAAGTAGAATAAGTGAAATAATTCACTTATATCATTCATATAATTCATAAGTTTAATTCTTAGCTTATTGCGAACATCAAGGAAAGTTATGAAATGTAGAATGGTGGCCTCAGCTATGTAACCGCTGCAGCTCTGTTGCATCCTCCAGCAAAGACTGTGGAAGTGTAGTTGAATAGATACTGTGTTACTTCTTCCAAAGGCTTGACTTCCATTTCCTCTCTTGCGGCCCTTCCGTCTTGGTATTACTTTTAAGTTCCATGATGCTCATACAGGATGCAGTTGGAGTGTGAAGATAAACCTCACCTTCTCGTACTGTATGTCATCGCCATGCAAGGCTTACTGTGGGAAACGAGAGCCTACTTACTAAGGAAGGCTCTAGGTCATAACCTCACTTCCTGAGGGAAATTCCAAAAATGCCCCAAAGACAAAAGTGTGGAAACAGGCTGGAATTTCTCTCCATCTGTCTGCCTGTACGGAAGGAATGATTTCATGTGTGCTCACTTCCTAGGCTTTTAATTAGTGACCTGAGCAGGGCTGGAAAAAATGTCAAATCTGTATTTGCACACAAGATAAAGTCTGTCTTGGCTCAGGCCTTCATTTGGGCAGGGATGGTTTACCCCGGGTGCTGACAGTCATGAGGGAAAGCACTGCTTTATCCCAGGGATAAAGTTACTGCTGTGCAGAGTATATGAAACACGACAGTCTAAGTTAAGCCCTCAACGTGCTACCAGTGAGGCACAAAGATAATGTATGGCGACATCTAAATTTGTAGGTTTTTTTTTTATCCAAAGGACGAGGGCCCTTCCGCTCTTGAAGCCTTATGGGCATTTAGGTTGTTGGTCCCACATGGGTCTGAGATCGTGTGACAAGGGATGAGCTATGTCATGGCATGGCTCTGTCACTGGCTCCTCCTGAGTACCACTGGCCTTCGCGTATTCGTAGCTGATAGCCCACAGGTGAGTCACTTCCCTTTGCTTTGCCTTTGTTTCTATATCCCTCACTTATCTATCTCATATAATTGCACTGTGGGCATTTGCGGAAAATGACTGTTTCCCCCTATGGAGGTGACTGTGTGACAGGAGCCCAGTTTTGGTAGGGAAGTCAAAGACCTACATATTTCAGGCAATAAAAGAAATGCAAACACCAGAGTGGGCACTGGGCCATGGGAAGCATTTCCTATGCTCTTGATTGAGATGACTCAAATCTGTTTCCTCCATAGACAGGCCACATCTATGCATGTAAACAAGATACAGACAGGGAACAATAACTGTCATAAAATAATAATAATAAAAGTAAGGGTTCCTCTGGGAAAAAAAAAGACCATTACCATACACCAGCAAGTTAGGCCAGATGTGTAATGCACAGTTTTGAAGTGTGTAATATAGAAAACACCCTTCCCAGGGCCCAGACTGCCTTCTGTATGCACCAAACGGGTGCGCAGCTTTGTCCTGTTGTTGGCCATGTGACAAACGGCCAGAGAAAATTAACTGAGAACTGAAAAGGTGTATTATACCAAATGTCTATGTGAAATAAAATAGCCTGAATCCTCCAGAGTAACCCAGCCCTTTGATTTATATTCATTTTCCTAGTTGTTTTTCCAGTGTAAGGAAAAGAACAGGGAGGGAAAAGGATCATAAAATCTGTTCCTCTGGCAACTCCCTAACTAGGTATGCCTGTGTGAAACCCAGGTATAGCAGGGTTACTTTGGGTAATAGAGGGGCTGCAGCCAGAATACCCTGCAGGCAATTTGGGAGAAATTAACCTTGGCCTTGCTGCACAATGCAGGCAGTCAGGACCAAAACTAGGGGACACAAAAATGTAAAAATACTGTTATCCATCCTTTTCTTACTCTGTCAGCTAACAAATACAGGGATTGCCCAACTGTAACATTTCCTAATTTGGCCTGGGAAATCTCAATACTGATTGCATTTTGTATGGTCTGAGGCATTATCAGATGTTGTAAAAAGTGTCACATTAACAAAGCATCCAAAAATGTGGATATGTAGACCAGAGCTGTGTAACCTACTCAGCTCTGAAATGCTGGAAATTCCCAAAGCACAGACTTTGCCATTTATGGGGTTCTAAAATTCCCCAGGACAACATCTATTGTATTTCAAGAATTCCCCATACTGTTTTTCTTGGAAAACAAAATGAAACCAACTACAACTGAACCTTCAAGGATTTAAGAAATAAACAGACAAAATTAATCTAAATTCAGTTCCTATAATCTGCTTTCACAAACTTTTCTAATACATCTTTGCATTTACAGACGGAAAGAGTTTGCTCATTCTCTATCGCCTAATTTATTCTGATAGAACCTTATTTCTTTTTACACAGTCTGCAAAAATCACATTGGGTCAAGAAATGTCCCTTCAATTATTACTCTATCCACAGGATTTTCTATGATAATTAACAGTAATCAAATTCACTCTGCACACAGAAGCTAGATATAAGAACATGTGGTACAGCTAACTTGTTCCACTACAAGATCTCTGCTGAAATAAGTGTCTAGAGAGATCTGAAACTCAAGCATCTAATGCAAATTAAGATATTAAAAAATATATTGTCTGGGGGGAAGTTCGGAACATAATTAGCGTAGACTTCTGTGATCCACTGAAGCGAATTACAATGTTAAGGACCCTCTCCCTTGCAAGAACAGGGTGACACATTCCTTGTGTCTCCCCTGCTCATCCACAAATTCTGAGATGTTTTGTCACATGCAGCAGTTTCCAAACAAAGCCCCCAAGCCAAGCTCTGCGCAGCCAGATCTCTTACCCTACCGAAAAAATCTTAAACAGGAGTGAAGCAGGAACCATTTCCTTGCACTCAGACCCTACGTGCTACCTTCACAGGATGAAAACGCAGGAAATCCCATCAGCCACACCCAGGAATGCTCCAGCATGGAAAAGTCCTAATAAAGCAGAGCTGACAAAGCTCATCAACCCTCTGTGAACCTTCCAACAAGCCTGGTTTAGTAGTAGCATAATGAAAACCTGATACAAAGGCCAGTATTTATTTTGAGCTTACGTGAACGATTGCTTGGACAAGATCCATTTTCAAAAAAATAGTACAATGACTATACATCAAAATGGTTCATTGGAAACGCATGTGACCAAAGCCACATTTAATATTAACATGTGTATGTAGCTTTGCAGTGTTTATCTGAAATCACTCTTCTCAGTTACAGTGGGCTCAAAAATCAGACTGCATAATTTTTGATAACTAATGAACATTTGGAAAACACAGACTAGAGGGAAATCACAGAATAAATACCGGGTTAAAATTATCTGCTAGTCTCCATGAAATCATCAATGAAAGCACTATCACTACCTGGGAAAAAACAGTTTAAACCAGTTAAAACCAGTGGTTTGAATCATAGCTGACAGCTGACTCTTTCAGGTGCTGACCTGAGCTGTCTGCTAAAGGTAGCTTTGCTCTCTTAGAGCATA